TCTTTCTAGCTAATTAGACTCCCGGAGCTCCACCCAGGGCCTAGCCGTGGATCTCTGCATCCAGATCCCTCAATCCTTGGATGGGGTTTCTAGCACAACAATTAGGGTGTTTGGCCATCCCATCACCAGAGTAGGTCAGTTCGGCTGTCTCTTGACCATTGCCAGCAGTCTATTGTGGGGGTATCTTTGGAACCCTGAACTTGGGAAGCTGAAGCAGAAATAAAAGCAGACCCCGCAGTATTATTGTCTTAGTTAGGGTTTCTATTGCTCCAAAGACACAAGATGACCACAGAAACTCTAATAAATAAAAAGGTTTAATTGGAGACAGCTTATAGTTTCTGAGGTTTAGACTACTATCATCTTCAGACAGAAATGTTACTAGAGAAGAGGCTGAGAGTTCTATATCTTGATCTGCAAGCAACAGGAAGTGAACTGTGACACTGGCATAGCTTGAACATAGGAGACCTCAAAGCCCACGCCCACAGTGACACACTTCCTCCATGAAGGCCATACAAACTACATCACCTCCTAATAGTGACACTTCCTTTGGGGGCCATTTTCTTTCAAACCCTCACCATAATCTTATAGCCCAAATTTTCCCTTCTTCAGGTGCCTCAGCCCTGTGTGAGCAGAGACTGGTACACTCTCCTCTATTGAAGATGCAATCCCCCCCTGGAAATAAGAATAATATTTGAGTTTTGAGACCTCAGTATTTACAAGTGGAGATGGCCAGAGCTGAGGTTCCCCTGGGTCTTCCATGGGGTCTGCTAGAAATTTCTTCTTTAACTCACAAAGAGTATAAGTCTGTGGTGGAATATCATTTGCCTTGATATATAAAATCCCTTTTTTATAAGAGATAATGCTGTATCAGTGTAGGTTCATGTTCTGTAAAGACTTTAGAGTGTAGGTCAGAGTACTGAGACTGGGAAGGCAGTAAATGTGAGACTAGAGAATACTGCATAATGCATAATTTCAGAAATATTGACAATTAACATGTACATACATTGTGTCAATAAATGAGTTCTATGAAAAATGTTTTAATAGTACTTTTAACAGCTTACAGGAATTATACTTTTGTGGCAATACATTGTGATAAAAATATCTCTTACAATCTAAAAGACTGAACTTTTTGCTGGACCACACAGCCAGAGTAAACAATACACTTTGAAGTCCTTCAGACTGTGATCAACTGTGTACTCAGTCTGTTTAACCTTCCTTTAGGGGAATATTGTAACATACAACCTTACTTGCCTAGGATTTCCCATATAATCAGCTTTTACATAAAGTGATAAGGCATAGCTCTCACCTTATTTTGTGTGTTCTTCCATGTTCCTGTCTGAAGATTAATGCATGAGTGTTTGCATGTGTGTCATGGTAACATTTTGCTGAACATATGTCGCATCTGCCTCAACCAGCAAGGAAGACACAACACCAGGCTCTTCTCCAAGAAGTTTATTCAGGAACCTTGACACAATCTTCTGACCCCGGGGAAAGCCAACCCACAACCTAAATAGCTTCTGGGCAGCCAACCCCAATCTGCCACGTGGGTACTGTGGATAGGTCCAGGTGCGTGCGCGGAAGCAAGTCAAATCCTTAGCCTTAGCCAAATAAGGAGTTGTTTATCACAGAGAGCACTCACCGTCGGGAGGGTGGAAGGCAGAAGCTAGCGCCATCTTTGAGGCGCAGCTGCACGCAGCTCTCTACAAATATACAAAATGTAGGTTTCAATAAATTTTATAAAATGAGTATCCATGATTGTCTAAAACAATATACAGATGCTGTTTGACAAGAAAAAAGATATATGCAATACTTATTTGAGTCAGCTGGAAAAAGTTATTAATCCATTGTAAAACTCTCTTAAAATTTTCTCTCCCCCGAGCATTGTTTGTAATAGCCAAAACCTGGAAACAACCTAGATGCCCTTCAACTGAAGAATGGATAAATAAATTGTGGCACATATACACAATGGAA